TAGCTTCTCAACTTGAAAGGTCTTTACTGTCAAATGCAACAAAAAAGATTTTGAAGCTCTAAAATCTCCCTTGACTGTCCAAAAATTACTCCAATATGGTTCCTAGAAAAAGTATGAGAAGTCATAATTAGAGTATAGGCACATTAAAGGCTCACCAAGGACAAGCATCGCTCCACGTCATTGCTTATATTCTTTAAACCACACTTAGCCACTGCCACACAGAGAAGATGAAGAAACCCAAAAGGTCAATCTTCATTATACTGAAGTTGCTCCTTACCCACGGATAAAATAAGAAATGAAAACAATCAAATACTGTTAACGTAGAGAAGAATTAACTGATTTCTGTTAGTTTCTTCTCGAGTGGAATCTTATGCAGCATCAGTCTTTCTTCTTCTTCTTGAACAACCCGTCTAGATGCCTCCAAATCCCGAAACTCTTCCTTGGAGCCAGAAAATAGTTGTTCTTCCTCCTCCTGTTTATACATTGTATTTCATTAGGAAAATAAACTCACCATATGTCAAGTGTATAAATAAGTGATGTTAATGTCGTGGGGAGGACAGCCAAATGGTTTTCTGTCCATCAATCTGTGGGTAAGGTTATGGCTGAAAGAGTGGTTACCCTGATATTAACTCCGCTTACGGCAGTAACATCATTGAGTTGTTCAATGCTTTGATCCAGAAAGTCTCCAGACACTTTTTGCTTCTTACTATAAGATATATAAATAAATGCAACATCCAAATGAGGAGGCTTCATTGTAATGTATGAACAAGTTAATCTGCTTGTCATGTATAGGCTTAGCAAATTTATTGGTATAAAAAATAGCATCACCTTGATGGAGGTGGAGAAGAACCAAGTGCATCAGGTGGCTTCTTTTGACCAACAGAAATCTTTTTGGGGGCAGCCTTAGAATTATTTCCAGGTCCAATCAAAGAAGGTATCCGGGAGTTTGACTGTTTGAGCAAGAAAGCAAAAGTAGAGGATGAAGTAATCTCAAGATAATCATTAAAAACCAGATTTAAATTATCATTTAATGGTAAGAACATATTTTCATAACACGCTCCCATGACCCCTTGCACTGTAACCCTTCTCTTGTCTAATTATGCTTCAGCTTGAAACAGAGATGCCCAAAAGAAAACACACAACAAGACCAAAGCACTGAGAAAAACTGTAATTATTAGAATCATCTACATCCCCCAGGCTACTAAACGAAATAAGATGTAGGCAGCCAGCAAAATTAAGGAAAAGACAAGGTAAAAGATAATGATTTGGGTGATCACATTAGATATTTTATATGAACACTTTCCAAGTTTGGCTTCTTATTTTAGAAAAGCAATTAGGGCTTAGTTTTAAAGATTCTGTAGTATTTTATGTTATTTGTTTCCGACTTAATTTAGTCTTTGTAAACCCGTA